GAATTAGTTTCAGATATATTGTTTTATTTATGGGAGTTCACCAAATGTTAGGCTACGGGGGTGATTCGTTTCTGTGGATGTAGCAGGGAGTGACCGGGTTGTAAATGTCTGAACTGCTAGAACTAAAGAAGCAGAAAATCTGATCATTTGCCATGGAAATAGCGACATGGTAGCGATGGACTTACGATGTTCGTCTGTGATAATGAGACTGCTTAGTGGAGAATAAATTTACCTATAAAAAGATGTGGCTTAGACAGCTGAGTATATGTGATTTCTACTTGATCTGGAGTGCACTTGAGACGGTCAAAGCATGAAACTTCATTGAGCATGCAATCGTTAGTAGCGACTGGATTCAAATCGAATTCACCTTTTGGGCGAATTCTCTGAGACTACAAGGTGGCCAGTAAAAAAGCGGTAAATTCAGGAAGACGTAAGGCATCAGTTGTAAAATGGCGACGACTGATGTGACTGAAAAATTCAGGAAGAATTTCTGCACATTTCGTCAATCCCTACATCGGATGTTTTGCTTTGAAAAGTACGATTACTTGACGCTCAAAGTCAGTAAGTTGTTTAACCATACGAAAAAGGCAGAACGAAAGACGAAGGTTTTCTGTAAATAAACTTTACGAAACGTAACTTAACGTAAACAATGACAACATATAATGAAATGGATGAAGTTCGACAATTATTTTCTACGTAAAGAATTTGTGTTAGGGATCGAAATATATCATATCCATTTGGGTGTTCCGGTTGCCAGTTAGGTTCGATTTATTCGACTAAACTTTGATCTTTAGAGGAATGGCAAGCTAGGACAATTGATGTGATTGAAGGTATTACTGAAAATCAGCTGCAAAATGTTTTCCGAGAACTACAGAACCGTATTGCTATTTGTATGCATCATGATGGCGGACATATTGAAAATTAACAATGCTAATAATAAATGTACATACTTCTTATTTCTTATCCTTTTTACACATTGTTTGTATCATGTTGATTTACAAAGCTATAAGCATTTTAAATTGGACTTTATGGACACCCTGCTTTTAAATCCACATTTTGTTAGTGTAGTGTAAAATGAAAGAAACTATATTTCAACATTTCTTATTTAAAAGAATGTTAACGTCTCATATGCCCACCATCTTCTTGAATACAATGATAAATACGTTTTTAAATTCCACAGAAAGAATTCTGCAGGTGTATTTGAGATTTAAAAATGTTTCTTGTTATCCTGGTATAAAGATATCTTAAGCAGTGTGATTTTTTATGTAAACAAAAGTTGTAAAATGCATTTACAGAAACGAAAACTCAAGGATACAAATCCGCAGAATGTAGCGATGGAGATGTTAGTCAATTCTTTTCTATTCATTGACGAAGAAAAGAAAACGTTTTTTTAGAATGATGATGTTTTGAAATTAATTACCACTCCAAATTCTTAATTTTTACAAGTAATTCTTTAATCTTTATTCTAGTTTCTCTACGCTGCATTTATTCAAAACGTCATTTTACGAAAATTGCTAGATAAGTCATAAAATTATCTTTAATATTAGTATTAGAAAATCTTTAATATTAGTATTAGAAAAGTCTTTTTCAGCTATTATTAGGTTTTGACTAGTACTTTTAATCTTAATTTTAATTGCGGTACATAGCAATTATTCAAAATGTTATTTCGCGGCTATTCGGAGATAAGTCGAACGTTATTATTAATATTAGATAAACCTTGTTATTAGGGTTTGACTAGTGTTATCTTAACTGTTATTCTACGGCTACTAGTAGATATGTAGCAATATTATTTTGGATTTAATTATTTTTTTGGTAAGCATTGTCAATAATTAATTTTTGACTTGTAATTTTTTCACCTTTCTAATAGTTGTTTTCATCGTAACCATCAAAAGAATATCCTTCGATTATTACGATTCTTTCTCTTGAGAAATTCCTCAAGCGATGATATTTCTCATCTCAGAAATAGTCTCTTAGAAGTTTGAAGAATCAGGAAAACAGAAGCAATTATTCATAATCTTAACAAAATATCTCCTACTTTCTTGATATGTTTTACGTACAACTTAGTTAAACAAAAAATATGAAATTCTTCTTCTTCTTCTTCTTCTTCTTCTTTGTACCGTATCCCTTCAGTACGTTGGCGATCATGGCTCTCCACAATTTCCTGTCCTTTGTAGATTTTAATAATTTTTACCTTCTTGTTATTTCTCCTAAATCCTGCTTGCTATCCATTTACGCATGCTCACTAGATAGGTTATGTCCCTTTGTCTTCAGTGTCCTGTGAGTCACACTATTTTACGAGTCCTCTTTAAGTGCCCTAGAAATTTCAACTGCCTCTTTCTGATGTTAAGTGTAAGTATCCTTTTTGTTTCTGTTTTCTCTAAAACTCACATGTTCAGACCATGGTAATCTCAGCATCCTTCTGTAGAACAAGATTTCTGTTATCTCAAGGCTCTTCATCTATGATAGGATTGTCCAGCATTCACTGCCATTATATTAGTCGTCGCAAACATTATTGTTGTTTTTTTTTTACTAGAAGTTTCTTTATCTTAATTTTTGTCGTTTTCCACTAAACTCTATCTGACCATCAATAAACAAAACGCAGACCCGAAGTTAACTGGTCTTGAACTCGCGTCCCTTTTACTTATCAGCATCAGCTGAGTTAAGGAATGTGTTGTGGCCTTGTTAGGGCCAGAAATAAACATAGAAGAGAGAAATTGAGTTAAACATATATATTAATAGAAACAGTAATACAAACATATACAAACGAGATTGTTACAGCAAGAATGTTCGGTTCAACTGTCAGAGCTGACTACTGGAAACTTCTCTCTCCCAAAAGGCAGTACCTGCTCCTATTTATAGCTAGGGGAGTCCATGCGTGCGTGGGTAAATTACCATAACAGAATGCAAATTCGATTTTTCACCAAAACACTTATTCTAATCCGCTTTTTGTTTACTGAACTATATCCTATGTGTGTTAAATTCTCTGGACCTCCCTTCCACATTACGCGTCTCTTTATGATTGTAAGTATAAGTTTCCCTGTCGTTTCTATTTTCCTTAAAACTTCCTCTTGCTCAAATGTTTCGTTCCTGATATTCTTAAAATTCACCTGAAGAACGACATCGCTGTCGCTTCAAGTTTCTTTTTCGTCTATATGGACTTTCCATCATTCCCTGTCATATTTGAGATCAGAAATTACATAGAACTCTTATCTTTATTTCTGACGATATTTTCTTATATCTTAATTTTCTTAGGTTTCCACCCTATAACCACTTGGCCACAGGCGAAATGTCGCAAGCCTCTCACTAATCTATCGCTATTTCCGTAGCAAATGTTTTGACGAACTAAGATACTTAGTTTTACCATTTCAAACATCTACATCTAGGACCCCCCATGCTACGTAGAATGGGTCGCATCATCTTTATTCCTTTCGTATTACATACGGACAAATATCCTTGGGAAATGAATCCAGTTCTTCTCTCTCCCCGACAGCTATGGGCTAGATAGCAGGACAGACTGTGTTCTTTAGCCTTGGCTGTCAACCAGTCTATTTCAGAAAGAAATAGCAACTTACTGCAAGAAAAATCTAGTTCTTCAGTCATAAATCGAAAGATACATGATCGCCCAAACGTGTATCACTTATGGCACTTAACTGACTGAGGGTTCATTCGCTGAAAGACATTTTAATTATTTGTCTGAAAAGATTTTTGCCAGTAATGTTAAAATTAAAAAGTAGAAATATTTATAAACTCAATGACTAAAAGACTGGTGATTGTTATAAAATGGCAAGGATACCATATACCAATAATCAATTCAAGTATATGACATAATGCGTTAATCAAATATATATTTCCTTGGCGCGTACCTTTTGAATTTATTTATAAATATTCATATTGCCCGCTGCTTCATGAAAACACGTTATCAATATTTTTAGTCATGTTAGTTAATAAAAAGCAATGTATTAATATTCTTATTAAGGTTAGGTATAAAAAAAAACAAGTTATTATTATTTTTAGTAAGGTTAGGTATTAAAAAAAACAGGTTATTAATATTTTTAGCAAGGTTAGGTATAAAAAAACAAGTTATTATTATTTTTAGTAAGGCTAGGTATTAAAAATCAAGTTATTAATATTTTTAGTAAGGTTAGGTATTAAAAAACAGGTTATTAATATTTTAAGTAAGCTTAGGTATTAAAAAAAGTTTATTAATATTTTTTAGTAAGGTTAGGTATTAAAAAACAGGTTATTAATATTTTTAGTAAGGTTAGGTATAAAAAAACAAGTTATTATTAATTTTAGTAAGGTGAGGTATTAAAAGCTGAAATGCAGATGCTATATTTACCATATATTTTTAATGCCACTAAGACGCCGAGTGGTACATGGAGTGAAAGAGAATGAGAAGACTTTCGTGAGGAAAGGAAAATAAAGAAGAGGCTTCAGGTAGACAAAAGATGGCAAATGATGTTGAATTTAAATTTTCGAAGATTGTGGGTGGCAGGGAAGCCGAAAGTCGAAAGGGAGTTCCACTGGTGAGAAGTGCGAGAAGAGGAACTCTAAGAATAGAAGTGGCGGTGGCATCTAGCTAGTACAACAGTAAAACGGTGAGGCTTAGTTGTATATAATACATTGTATGTATACTGAAAATCTTACCAACATTAGATGGTTAATACAAATTTTATTCTGAAAAACTGCCTTGCATACTAAAATCTCTCGTAAAGCAAGTGCAAACATTTCTTATAGGAAAATATGAGGATTTCTGAAAGTAAAAATCGCTTTAAAATCGGTAATTCGCCTGTTCCCTATTTTACAACTATTTTTTTCCTCGGGCCAAGACACTTAATACAGCAGACCATCAATATCAGAACGTCAATGAAATCGAATTTAGTTGGTGGTGGATGGTGGTCTGAAGACAGGAGTAATTAAACAAACCCTTCTTACCTGGCACATGGCAATCAAAAGGAATCGCTGGTATCGTATCGATCAAATCGTGTAATGATCGATAAATGGCGACTGGGTGTGTTAATGGTCTTATTTTTACGAATCGATCTTTCTCTTTCTTTTTTCTCTCTTTCATTCTTTCTTACATGTTTTTATTTAGTTTCAGTCACGCATTCCTAGTATTTTCATTAATCTCTTTTTTTTTATACCTGTATGTTTTCGATTTTCATTCCTTTTATTTTCTTTCTTTTATTGCGTTATTGTTATTGTTTTTCTTTCTTTCACTCATCTCTCTTTTTACTTTGTTTTTCATTTTTCATTCATCTCTCTTTTTACTTTGTTTTTCATTTTTCATTCATCTCTCTTTTTACTTTGTTGTTTCATTTTCATTCATCTCTCTTTTACTTTGTTTTTCATTTTTCATTCATCTCTCTTTTTTACTTTGTTTTTCATTTTCATTCATCTCTCTTTTTTTTACTTTGTTTTTTTCATTTTTCATTCATCTCTCTTTTTACTTTGTTTTTCATTTTTTAATCATCTCTCTTTTTACTTTGTTTTTCATTTTTCATTCATCTCTCTTTTTACTTTGTTTTTCATTTTTCATTCATCTCTCTTTTTACTTTGTTTTTTCATTTTTCATTCATCTCTCTTTTTACTTTGTTTTTCATTTTTCATTCATCTCTCTTTTTACTTTGTTTTTCATTTTTCATTCATCTCTCTTTTTACTTTGTTTTTTCATTTTTCATTCATCTCTCTTTTTACTTTGTTTTTCATTTTTTAATCATCTCTCTTTTTACTTTGTTTTTTCATTTTTCATTCATCTCTCTTTTTACTTTGTTTTTCATTTTTCATTCATCTCTCTTTTTACTTTGTTTTTCATTTTTCATTCATCTCTCTTTTTACTTTGTTTTTCATTTTTTAATCATCTCTCTTTTTACTTTTGTTTTCATTTTCATTCATCTCTCTTTTTACTTTGTTTTTTCATTTTCATTCATCTCTTTTTACTTTGTTTTTCATTTTTCATTCATCTCTCTTTTTTACTTTGTTTTTTCATTTTTCATTCATCTCTTTTTACTTTGTTTTTCATTTTCATTCATCTCTTTTTACTTTTTTTTTACTTTGTTTTTCTTTTTTTTCATTTTTCATCTCTCTTTTTTACTTTGTTTTTCATTTTTTAATCATCTCTCTTTTTACTTTGTTTTTCATTTTTCATTCATCTCTCTTTTTACTTTGTTTTTCATTTTTCATTCATCTCTCTTTTTACTTTGTTTTTCATTTTTCATTCATCTCTCTTTTTACTTTGTTTTTCATTTTTCATTCATCTCTCTTTTTACTTTGTTTTTCATTTTTCATTCATCTCTCTTTTTACTTTGTTTTTCATTTTTCATTCATCTCTCTTTTTACTTTGTTTTTCATTTTTCATTCATCGTTCTTTTTACTTTGTTTTGCATTATTTTTCTTTTATTCACTCATCTCTGTTTTGTTTCTTTCTTTTACATTGTTTCTTTCTTCCATTCATTTTTCTGCTATTCCGTTATCTTCTTTTAAATCATTTTATTCATCTCTCTTGTATTTCTCTTTTTCTCTTTTCTTTTATTAATCCTCCTTTTATTACGCTATCGCTTTCATTTTGCCTTCTTTCATTCATCTCTCTTTTAAACCTTCATTATTTTTTTTTTATTTTTTCTTCAGTTATTCTTATCTATTTTGGCAATCTCCCTTCTGTTCATGACCCCAGACGAAAGGAGATAAAATGAATTTCAAACAAGGTGACTATTTTAAACTCTAAATTATTTATGGCTCACTGAAATGGTACGCGATATGTGAGCATTTTAAATATTTAGAAGTAACAATGTAACCAAGAAAAAAAAATCCTTTTAAAGAGAAGAGACTCGAACTTAGATCGTTGTAACAACGCCTGAACTGTCATTGTTATTGCAGACGCTGATGGATCGACGAAGTCCTTGCTTCAAGCTGTGCTCTTCTTTCTAATAAACGCACATCTTTTTGTCGATATAGTTGTTAAGAAAGTGGGGTTTTGTTTGAGGTTCTATGGTTATGTAATTTTATTATAATACGAATTATTATGGCTCTAAAAGGTGACATTTTATAAGTATATATTTACTTAATATATATATATATATATATATATATATATATATATATATATATATAACCGAGATTCTTAACATATGTAGGCATAGAAAATCTTATTTGAATTAGGTCTAATCTCCCCGTTTGTATTGTCATTCCACCTTTATTGTTCGTGTTTTAATATCCCCTCTCCTTTTAGTCGTTTGAATAAATCTTTACCAAAACCCCTAGCCCCCCCCCCCACCCACCGGTGTTCCTGTGTTGGTTTTCTTTTTCTTTGGTCACGTGGTATGATTTTGATTATCGCCTATAAATATGCTGTTTCTCTTTTGCCTCTTTAGCCAGCTTTCCCTGACGATACGCTTAGGTGAAACCAGGGTAGGTTTGTCTGGCTCACTAGGTTTGACTAGGTCTGATCTACGGTTGTATTGAGCTCTTTTGTTAGTTAGTTGTTTAATCGTGTCGGGGTTTTTTCTTTGGGCTTTAAACCTGTATCTGTGCGACCTTTTTCGACAGACTTTCATGTTTCTAGCTCTTTCTTTTTTTAAAACCTTTTTTTTTTCCTTCGAGTTTGATTTGATTAGTGGCAAATCAAAAATTCGAAGGTTTTCCGAAACGAGTATAGTTTATATATATATATATATATATATATATATATATAACTATACTCTTTATATATATATATATATATATTCACTGAGTCCATGTACAAATTGTCCAGCCAATTACTATGTTACTGCCTGCTGATTAGTGCTGCTACTGTCGACTGCACTCCGAAGCTTTTCTCTTTTTTGTTGACTTGCTATTTGTTTTTCTTTCTTTACTAGCGTTATTATAAGTATATATTCACTTAGTATATACAAATATAATTAAAAAAATGGAGTGGGGGAGTAGGAATTAAAAAAAAATACTTATCTTAAAGTGGTGAATTGTAAAATATATTATAACAAGAAAGCTAACATGTTATCGTTCCTCGCTCTTCAAAGCTCAGTCAAAGATTAAACATATAAATGTTTGCACAACGATTAAGAAAGAGGAAGAGAAACAAAGACAATGTTCCACTAAAGAATTAGTAATAAAAATCACTGGCAGAATACATTTAAACTAAGTAACCATTCCTTCCGCTTACAGAGGGAAGGTTGGTTAGACTTAATATATATTGACTCAAGGACTCTTATATAGTAATCCGAAAGACAGAGCGCATTCGGATTACTATATAAGAGTCCTTAATGAGTTCTGTAATTCAGCTCAAAGAGATTTTGCTTTTACATTCCACCCAGAAAATGTGACTCAGAAATTCGAAGGCGCTCGGGAATACTCAGAAAACTCATAGACAGGTATGAAAATTTGTATCCCTGGTGAAGATTGAGCAAAAATACAAATTTTCATGAGTCAATTTTCTGGGTGGAATGAAAAAGCAAAATCTCTTTGAGCTAAATTACAGAACACATTCGGTGGACAGGTGAGTGTTATCGTGTTTCCAACCGTGAAGTTGGAACTTTTCGGCTCGCGCAATAAATAATCTCGTTTTGCGCATTAGAAATATTTTATCAGCGAATGGGATTGTGTGTGCATGTGTGTATGTGTGTGTATGTGTTGTTTTTTTATCACCCACCCTCACGTTCACAGATGCCGTCTTCTCGGTCTCATCTGACTTAGGCAACGTAGCATTTTTTTTTCATTTATTTACGCCCAAATAATTCCTCGGTGCGAGACAAATACAATTTCCTAATCAATACCTGCTTGAATGAAGTCTTACTGCGAAGAAAAACGAATGTATGACGACGACGACGACGACGATAACGATATGAAGGTGGAGATGGAGGTGAGATTGATGACGGAGGTGGGGAATAAAGGGGAAGAGGTAAGATAACGGCTACCCTATACAAGCAACGTCATACATCGAATAATGCGGGGAATATCTTCTTCGAGTCGCGTGGGCAAAGGAACAATGGCTTTATAGCAAAAAATCTAGACATAGTATGGAGAGTTGTTAAGAATTTCTTATTCTTCTTTTGCTAACATTTCAGTTTTGTTTTGGTGTACACATAAACAAAAATAGGCATAAATACACACACACACACACACACATATATATATATATATATATATATATATATATATATATATATATAACGGTTGTAACAATCGTCCAGATCGTGTAACAGCTTGGGATAATTGTTCATTCTCACAAAATGTTTAATGTCTAAAACCCCACTAAACTAAATGAGTTTATTTTTTTCCAGGTTTTCAGATAAGACGTTTAGCCATCTAGACCCTATTTTGTCGTAAGAATCCCTGAAAAACCCTTTGAGCTATTCAACTAGAAAGAGAACAGGTTAAAATCGTTTTGTGGTGATTAGATATTACATAGCAATGTTGAGAGGAAAGTGATCTTTCAGGCCTTCAGTAATGGTACAAACATTCATACTCAGGCATCCATCTTCAAAGTCCATCAACAGAAGGGTTAATAAGTTTAAAAAAGGGGGAATAGTAGAGAGGAAAACTGGACCAGGTGGTCACAACAGCAAGAGGGATTTTTATTTTAACCTAGAGCTAAATACATTCTTATTGTTCAATGTAGAGTCCAATAGTATTATAGAAATCTCGGACAATTCTTTTAAGATATCTTTAATTATTTCTAAGATACAACGGTTCAAAGTTTAATCTAACAGTTGGACAATTTTACTGTTACACCCGGTATATATATGGTTTCCCCCAAAATTGGCATCATTTAAAATGTATATCTCAGGAAAACGAAATTGAATAGGCTTTATGTTGGATAATAAAATACTTATTTATCAAAATTCGAACAAGATATTCAAAGTGATGTAGATTTTATACTCGATTTCACAGTGCTTCACAAATGTTCAATATGCGCACCACCTTTGGCACGGCGCACGTCAAGTCGGTAGTCCAACTCCTGCCAAATACGCTGTAGCATGTCTTGCATAACATTCTATAGCACCTCAATGTGGACTTCTCTGAATGTGAATCTAAAAGGAAGATAGATTGGGAGTGCCAATAATAATGACAATGCGTTGTTGAAATGGCCACCACGTTCACCTAACTTGACACCTTGTGATTTTTTTCTATGGGGGCTATGAGAAAGTACAGGTCTATATTCCCCCTCTCCCTACAAACCTAGAGGAACTTAAGCAGAGTATCACTGAGGTGCAGGAGAATTTTCATCGAAGTCATCTTTTGTGAAATAGCAACAACGACAATGTTAGTAATAATTCTGAATTACTTTATTCTTGGACCAACAAGATACAAATACAATGACTAAACCAATGGCTATTTTTCTTTCATTTCGAAGAAACTGGAAAGTCTCAAGATATCACGTAACATTTTTTAAAAATTTCCCATTTACATTATTTACATTGTTCGAACTCTTGTCCTCATCTTTATTGTCATGTTCACGACGTTTCGGCCGTTGTACGCTCCGGCATTCTTCAGGTGATTGGAATTTCGAACTGAACCCTTTATTTCGTCCACCGGGGTAGATCGTTTTAATTCCACCGGAATGTACAATGGCCGAAACGTCGTAAACATGGCAATAAAGACGAGGACAACTGTTCGAACAATTACAATACCTCATCTCAGAAATATAAACAGCTTAAAAATTAGTATAAAATGTCCCACCAAAACAATAAGAATTCTGCTTAAATAGCATTAAAGTACTCCTCCGCGTCTGTCATATCAGTTGTTCATACAAAACCGGAGGAGGTAACATGTACTCCAGTGTCTGCCTGTGGAAGTCCCCCCATTATCTGATGAGACCTTGCATTTTAACTCTATATGTCCCCTCTCTCCTCTGACCACAGGATGGATTAACGTGATCAGTTGAAGGTTTGCTCCAAAATATGTGTGCGATTTTCCTCGCATTTGTGGGGATAGAGTTCGAGGTGCTCGCATATTTCGACATTTGCCTCGCGTTAGGTGTTCCGTCGTTCCGAAGGGCGATAGTTTTCCTTTCTAGCATGTTGCATGAATTGAGCAATCAGATCGAGGGTTCCGCCTGGTGCAGATAACATATCTTATATTGTATAGGTAGTCCCACGTATTCGTCAGAATCCTGTCC